ATTGCCTAAACATGTTTCAGAATATTTAACTTTTCCATCTATTGACCCGGCTACAGGTAAGACCACGATGAACTAACCATGGGGGTGTATCGCGGAAAGGATTAATTAACACACCGCGGGGGGAGCATGGTTAAATGCATAATCGGCGTTGCCCGTACTGTATGGTAAGTTATCACTGTAGATAATATCATTGAAAGATCAATTGAATAAGATAATTATAAAAGAATTTTTATGATAAATAATCCAAAAAGTACTTTCATCATTTTTAGCTCACCTCAACGAAGTTGGGGGGCCTTATGTAATACCCAAGGCGTCGGCGTCCCGGGTTAAGGTTTTTAGAGCAGTTTTCTTTTCAAGTACTTCTATGGCCTATATTAGTCAGAGATGCATGGAGGATGCTTCTCGTGTGTTTCATTGTACCAGTCAAGGTTTCAGATGCTGCAATTTCAGCTAAAGAATGACCAGGTTAATGTTTTTGGAGCAGGTTAAAGTTTTTGGAGCAGGTCTCATTTCCAAGTAACTATAAGCCCTATATTGACCAAACTTGCATGGATGATACATCTAAAGATGCACACTACTGAACTTTTTCGGATGCTGGATCTGACCTACATTTTCCGGATGAGTGACTAGGTTAAAGTTTTTGGAGCAGATCTGATTTCCAAGTAACTATAAGCCCTATATTGACCAAACTTGCATGGATGATACATCTAAGAATGCACACTACTGAATTTGCTTCGGATGCTGGATCTGACCTACATTTTCCGGATGAGTAACCAGGTTAAAGTTTTTGGAGCAGATCTCATTTCCAAGTAACTATAAAGCCTATCTGAAGCAAACTTGCATGGATGATGCATCTAAGGATGCACAATACTGGACTTGCTTCGGATGCTGGATCTGACCTACATTTTCCGGATGAGAAACCAGGTTAAAGTTTTTTGGAGCAGATCTCATTTCCAAGTAACTATAAGGCCCAACTGAACCAAACTTGCATGGATGATGCATCAAGAGACGAACAATCTCAAACTTGCTTCAGATGCTGGATTTGACTTATATTTTCTGGATGAGTGACTAGTTATTAGTTTTCAGATAAGTCTATTCCCAAGTAACTGCAAGCCCTATCAGACCAAATTGCATAAATGTTGCATTTAGGGATGCACACTCCAAGATTATTAGTTTAGTGTGGGACTTTGCCTTACTTAAAGACAACATTCGTTGAGGTGAGCTCTGTAATCTCTGATTACCTATGTTTAATGATCAGGTAGAGGATGAGATTGGTTTTCAAATAGTGCTTAAGAACTTTTTTCTTTAGTCAAAATGGTGATAGTGACTTGGGGGCAAGTACAGGAGTACAAAGTACATGTACAGGCAAATAAATAGATCTACTTTAAGAATTTTTACTGAATTTTGCTGATCCCTGATCATCCTATTTCTATTGCTTTTGGACAACATTGCTTAATGTGAGTCCACATTTGTGAGGCACGGCGTACTAAGTATCATTGTGACATCATTGAAAATTAAATAAGTAGCAAAAATAAATTAAACCACAAGATGATATGTAAATAAAAGGTTGCATGCATTTGTTTTATCCATTATCTATTTAAAAATCAGAAATCTCACCATTTGATAACAATACTGCTGAGTATTTAGAAACAAATCTTTTGTCATATACGACATTATTTGTCTTGACTTGACGCAGTACAAGTGATCCAGAGGAGTGCATGGATCCCTTTGTTTAATAATTACAAAAATAATTAATTAATTAAATACAAAATCATTGTCAAATTTTCTGTCTAATCAATAAAACTGAAAACAAAACTTTTCTTAACAACTGTGTAAATAATTTATCAGGATCTTATCTAGCAGCACAGCGTCAGATGATGTAAAGAAAATCACAAATCCTGTAAGCATATTCCCAGTAAACCTTAAAAGTGGAAGGGCATACACTAGAGTGTTTGAGACTGTTTAAGCTGAAATGCGGAATATTAATTGCTTATATCATGTAAATCTAAAAAGTGCTGGTAGTTGATTCTGGTTTGAGGAATATTTTTTAAATTCTTTATGATGTGATGGCGAAGTGGAAATTTTTTGCTATATCACACATTCTTGGCAAAATGTGAGGACTTCCCAAACAGCACAAACTAGTTTCCAGTACTTCTCAGGCAAGGGATGTAAATTTTAATGTGTATCAATTTTTATGGCAAAAAACAACCCGATGCCCATGCACTAGAGTCATTTTCTACATTCAGCCAAATAATTCTATTTTTACACCAGTCATGTGACATGCAGCTGATATATACAATGTAAATTGTACTAAGTACGACATGAACCTTAGTGATTCATTACTGGTGACTATATTACCTTTCCTACAATTTTATGGTTACCATTTTTACAGTGATTATTAAATGTAATACATATTAAAAACATGTTAAGATAATATTTTCCATTGATTTCCTTTACATAGCTAAGCATGACTGGTTGATGTTGACCCTCCAGGATGTGGAAATGAGCAGCTACTGTGAGCCAGATGGGAATTGGTGGAAACAACTGGAGAAGGCAAGATTGATGAACGTTGACCACACAGACCACAGCTAGGCTAAGGACACTCATAGGAAGTATGCATTATCATATATTCCATAAAAAAGATTCAATATTCAAAATAAAAATAATCAGTTTAATTTTGTTGAATGGAAATTCTGCTATCTGTACAAGTATATAGGGTTCTCTTCTGAGTTTGGCCAAAGTGACATCACTGATAATATGATCTGTTTGTCACATGACAGCTAGGTTAAAATTAGAAAATATACGTACAGCTACAAAAATTGTGAAAATTTCAATGAGAAATGGATACATTTTTTATTTCGAAATTGACCATTTTCGTTGCGACAAATTCCGTCATGTGCTGGGAGAAAGTTTCTCATTTTTGGGAACTATGACAAATTTAGCCATCTTTTAATAAAATATAGAAAAAAGCAAAATATGATTTGAAGATATATTAAATTGCAGATTGAAGCACACAACCAGCTCCCAACACTTTTTAAAATAGAGGAATGCAAGCTACATGTGATTAAAAGCTAAAAATTTAGAGTAAAGCTGATAACGTTGAACTTCTGGGATTAATGAGAACCACTCTACTCTGTCAGTTATTTAATAGTTTATTAAAGTAGAAGTATCCTTATGTCTTATTTCTTATCACAAGACTGATGGACATTTACCCTCCGGGATGTGGAAATAAGCAGCTACAGCCAGACAGGAATTGGTGGAAACAAGTGGAAAAGACAAGACTGATGGACATTGACCCTCCAGGATGTGGAAATGAGCAGCTACAGCCAGACAGGAATTGGTGGAAACAAGTGGAAAAGACAAGACTGATGGACATTGACTCTCCAGGATGTGGAAATAAGCAGCTACAGCCAGACAGGAATTGGTGGAAATAAGTGGAAAAGACAAGACTGATGGACATTGACCCTCCAGGATGTGGAAATGAGCAGCTACAGCCAGACAGGAATTGGTGGAAACAAGTGGAAAAGACAAGACTGATGGACATTGACTCTCCAGGATGTGGAAATGAGCAGCTACAGCCAGACAGGAATTGGTGGAAATAAGTGGAAAAGACAAGACTGATGGACATTGACCCTCCAGGATGTGGAAATGAGCAGCTACAGCCAGATAAGAATTGGTGGAAACAAGTGGAAAAGACAAGACTGATGGACATTGACTCTCCAGGATGTGGAAATAAGCAGCTACAGCCAGACAGGAATTGGTGGAAATAAGAGGAAAAGACAAGACTGGTGGACATTGACTCTCCAGGATGTGGAAATGAGCAGCTACAGTCAGATAGGAATTGGTGGAAACAAGTGGAAAAGACAAGACTGATGGACATTGACCCTCTAGGATGTGGAAATAAGCAGCTACAGCCAGACAGGAATTGGTGGAAACAAATGGAAAAGACAACACTGATGGACATTGACCCTCCAGGATGTGGAAATGAGCAGCTACAGCCAGATAGGAATTGGTGGAAACAAGTGAAAAAGACAAGACTGATGGACATTGACCCTCCAGGATGTAGAAATGAGCAGCTACAGCCAGACAGGAATTCGTGGAAACAACTGGAAAAGAAGAGACTGATGGACACTGACCTTCCCAACAGCAAGACATATCAAAGTAGATAACTGTCACTGATCAGGTATGTGACATAATCAATGATCATTTTTGGAAAAGTACAGCAAAAGAATATTTGATCTTTGAACTATATTATTTAGATATGTTTGTTCTTTTCTTAATATACTGATAGATGTATATTAACTTCTATTTAATAGTGTGCTTTGATGATTTGGTGACAGTAACCAGTAGGAGACTCAGATGAAGTCATGTGAATGTGCTTGACATGAATGACAAGGAACCCTCAGGTATGTGAAAGTTACCCTTAGCAGGCCATTCTCTATGACCTTTGGTTTCTCATTTTTACTTCATTGGACCTGATTATTACCTTTTTTCATTTTTTAAAAACAGAAACTAAAGAAGTCAGTAACCATTACTCCTTTCACTTCTTTCCTGAAAAGTGATTAACACAAGACACTTGCATCTGACAGGTTGAAGAGGAGACTTAAAAGGATGGTGTGGTGAAGTTTTCTTCAACAATGTGGAGTAGAGCATTTACAACCTACAGGAATTGGTGGGAGCAACTGGAAAATGCAATGCTGATGGATATTGACCCTCGAAGATGTGGAAATAAGAAGCCGCAGCCAGACGAATGAATGGGAAAAAAACTAGAAGAAGCAAGACTGATAAATGTACTTCAACATGCAGAAAAAAGTAGTGCATTCTGACTGGAATTGGTGGAAACAACTAGAAAAGACAAGACTGATAGACTTTGACCCTTTAAGATGTGGAAATGGGCAGCTATAGCCAGACAGGAATTGGTGGAAAACCTAGAAAATGCAAGACTGATGGATGTTGACCCTTCAAGATGTTAAAATGAGCAGCTACAGCTAGACAGGAATTGGTGGTAATAATTAGAAAAGTCAAAACTAATGGGTGATGACCTTCTCAACAGCAGAACTTACCACAGTGGATAACTGTCACTGATCAGGTATGGGACATTATTAAAAATCCAGGATCTTTTTTTGACAAAGTACAGCAGAAGAACATTATGTTAGAAATATATAATATTTTGCTAAGATATGTCTGTTCTTTTCTTAATTTCTGTTTATACTTATTTAGGTGCTGAAATATATTAATTAATGTCTATTTTACAGTGTGCTTTGATGTTTTGTGTGACAGTACCATGTAGGAGACTCAGATAAAGTCATGTGGATGTGCTTGACATTATGAATAACAAGGAGCCTCAGGTATGAGAATAAGTACCCAAGTATGCCATTCTGTAGGACTCTGTTCTTCCTTTCTACTTCATCAGTCCTAATGGTTACCTTTTTTCTTATTCATTGACAGAAAATAAAAGTATTGAAGAGGCATATCCTTGTGATCATGTTTGGAAAAAGACAGAGAAAGATGACAATGCAGAAAGCCAGATCTGTGAAGCACACACAAGCACATCCAGTTTACAATGTTATAATTTGTTATTATCCAGAACAAATTTTTTTGAGACATTTGTTTTGGAAATGGGTGTCTGAGTTGTAAGAGGGTATGGGGTCGCCCACTCAGACACGTGGGTTTTCTCCGGGTGCTCCGGTTTCCTCCCACACTGACCCCATTCTTTTTCTCTATGTCAAAGAGATAATTGTGCTATTTTTATTATTTTATGTATGTTATCATCTATCATTATTTTGCTATAATGTTATTTCATGTTAGCATCTAATACATTATAAAATTGTTTAGATGAAGTAGTTGAAGGCTAGTTGTAAGTAGACCTTGTCGATACCCTGGGGCATTACTGGTTGGAACTTCATGGGTCCTTCGCCGCTACGGTTGCCAGGCTGGCCTGGGGAGGAGAGGTTGAAAATGCGACTAGTTGTAGGCTCCTTTGTCTTTCAAAAATCTAAAATCTTTCTTTTTATCTTATCCAACATCAAAAAAAATGATGTGTAAATGTTACAGAAGAAGTGATTTTTATATATCATATTATTATTCCTGGAATGTACAACTACTTATTACAAAGTTAGGGTGGATATAGTGACAATGAATTTATTGTGTAATTGAATATATATACAATGTGCATTACTAAGGTGACTAGATATATTGTAAATGTTAAGTACAGATTTATTTAGCTTTTGTAGTTAGTATGTATAGTTGACAGTGATCGACTTAATGAATTTATTGTTCAAATGAATATATATGCAATGTATTATTGGTGTGACTGTGGATATAAAGTAATAGTAAATGTTAAATTGTACATTGAACAATGAATTGTGACTAGTTATGCAGTGATAGTACATGTAAATGTTAAAGTGTATTAGTAGTAAATGTTAAATTGTGACAGTGAATGATAAATTGTGAATAGTTATGCAGTGATAGTACGTGTAAATGTTAGAAGTAAATGTTATATTGTGACAGTGAACAATGAATTGTGACTAGTGTAATGTTAAATTGTCTGATCTCATTGGCCAAAGTTTTGCACAAAAAAAGAAAAACAAGCAAAACAAAAAGAAAAAAAACATGAAAGGAAAAATGAAAGAAAAAAAAGAAAGAAAAAAAAAACAAGAAGAAACCAAAAAAGAAAAGCACTAAAAAGAAAGAAAAATAGCACAAAACTTTTAATGCTGCCTGCTTGAAAAAACATTGCTTCCCAGCATTTATAGGATTTGTGTTTTTTTCAAGCAGAAGGTTCCAAGCCCTTGAAAGCAGAGGAGAAGTTTTTGTGTAATAATACATACATGTAAAACATTACTTATGATATCCCAAAAGTTAATTCCTACAATCAATTAGGGCCTGCATCAAGATGGAAGTGCCATTTAGTGTTCATTTTTAGCTCACCTGAGCTGAAAGTTCAAGTGATCTTTCTGATCACATTTTGTCTGTTGTCAGTCTGTCTTAGCTGTCTGTCTGTCTAGCTGTCCATCTGTAAATTTTTCACATTTTGAACTTCTCAAGAACCATCGGGGCCAATTTCTTGGATGAAGGAGATTCAAGTTTGTTCAAATGAAGGGCCATGCCCTCTTTCAAGGGAAGATAATTAAGAATTAGTATAAATTTGGTAGCATAAAATCTTCTTCTCAAGAACCATTGGGCAAAAAAAGTTGGAACTTGTGTGAATGCTTCATTACATAGTGTAGATTTAAATTTGTTCAAATCATGACCCCCAAGGGTAGGGTGGGGCTACAAGGGGGATCAAAAGTTTTACATAGGAATATATAGGGAAATAGTCACATTGATATGGAAGCATCCTCAGGTACGTAGTATAGATTCAAATTTGTTCAAATCATGACCCTGGGGGGTAGGTTGGGCCTTTTTTCCAAAATCTATGGGTCTTCAGTAATTCATTATTTATTAGAAATTTGTTATCTCCTTAATTTTCTTCTTCATTTAAAAAATAATTTCTGGTACTGCAATTCATACTATTGACTTTTCAACATAATATCACATACAAGTGTTTATCGCAGATCTTGAGTCAGGAACCATCAAAATATATGTGTTAATTTTGAGACAAAATTCAAGTTAACAATCTCTAAACTTGTTCTATATCATGATGTAGTGCACATGCAATGTCATCCATTTTTTGCACACAAGAGTGCATAATAAGGTATATGTGCAACACAAAATGTATCAATGAATTTTAAAATTAAAAAAAAATTGAAAATGTCGATTTTACAACAGATGAGTAGACTGTGCTGGCACGAAAAAGATCCCTCACTGCTCAATGGCTCTGATCATGAGTGCTGAGTATAGGTCAAAAACAGCTCTCCACCGGCAATTGGTGGCGTCTCTATATGAGTGAAATATCCTCGAGAGGGATGTTAAACAACAAACAAAAACCCTCAGTGTCAGCGTCCCAGGTTAAAATTTTTGGAGCAAATTTCTTTTCAAGTACCCCTATGCCCTAAATTAATCAGATATACATGGACAATACTTCTAGTATGTTTCATTGTACTTGTCAAGGTTTTCAGCCGAAGAATGACAAGGTTAATGCTTTTGGAGCAGCTTAAAGTTTTTGGAGCACGTCTCATTTCCAAGTAAGTATTATATATCATAGGGTTATTCCCCCCCCCCACCCCCACCCCTCGTGTTATTTTTGCCCTTTCTTTTGCCCAGTCAAGGTTCTGTTTAAAAAATTATTCTGTAGTCTTTGAGTTTGCCCTGTCTTAAATTCAGCGAGTTGTGTCTAGGGTGAAAGGGGCAAAAATAAAACAGGCAAAACTTTCTGTATACAGTACACGTATACGACATATATTGACCAAACTTGTATGGATGATTCAACTAATGATGCACACTACCAGGCTTGCTTCAGATGCTAGATATGAACAAAATTTTCCAGATGAGTGACCAGGTTAAAGCCCCATGTTGATCAAACCTGCATGGATGATACAACTAAGGATGCAATTTACTGGACTTGCTTCAGGTGCTGCACAGTTAATCAGAGAAATATGTAAGCATCCTTACTTTTTAGCTCACCTGAGCTGAAAGCTCAAGTGAGCTTTTCTGATCACCTGTTGTCCGGCGTCCGTCCGTCTGTCTGTCCATCTGTCTGTAAACTTTTCACATTTTCAACTTCTTCTCAAGAACCATTGAGCCAATTTTAACCAAAGTTGGTACAGAGCATCCTTGGGTGAAGGGGAGTTTAAATTGTTAAAATGAAGGGCCAACCCCCCTTACAAGGGGAGATAATCAAGGAAAGATAAAAATTGGGTGGGGTCATTAAAAAATCTTCTTCTCAAGAACCACAGGGCCAGAAAAGTTGAAACTTATGTGGAAGCATCCTTGGGTAGTGTAGATTCTAAATTGTTCAAATCATGGCCCCTGGGGGTAGGGCGGGGCCACAATAGGGAATCAAAGTTTTACATTGAAATATATAGGAAAAATCTTTGAAAATCTTCTTCTCAAGAACCACTGAGCCAGAAAAGCTGAAACTTTTGTGGAAGCATCCTTGGGTAGTGTAGATTCTAAATTGTTCAAATCTTAGCCGCCAGGGGGTAGGGCGGGCCACAATAGGGAATCAAAGTTTTACATTGAAATATATAGGCAAAATCTTTGAAAATCTTCTTCTCAAGAACCACTGAGCCAGAAAAACTGAAACTTATGTGGAAGCATCCTTGGGTAGTGTAGATTCTAAATTGTTCAAAGCATGGCCCCGGGGGTAGGGCGGGGCCACAATGGGAATCAAAGTTTTACATTGAAATACATAGGCAAAATCTTTGAAAATCTTCTTCTCAAGAACCACTGAGCCAGAAAAGCTGAAACTTATGTGGAAGCATCCTTGGGTAGTGTAGATTCTAAATTCTTCAATTCATGACCCCCGGGGTAGGGTGTGGCCGCAATAAATATTACAAAGGGGAGGTCTTGTGAAGAACAGCAGGGCCAAAGTAGCTCAGGTGAGCGTTGTGGCCCATGGGCCTCTTGTTGTTCAAGTCATACTCCTCTTTTAGGTGTAGGTCACAACCACTTATGGATTTAAACTTTTCAATACTGAACTGATTTTTGCTTTTCTCCTAGCCACAGTGCTAGGGTGAGCAATTTGGCCGATGGGCCTTCTGTTTCAAATTATGATCTCAGTTTTAAAATTCTAGCATTACTAAGAATAATGTGATTATACAGGTACTATCCTTGTATTGTTCATGCATATCATTATGATGATTTTTCTTTCTTCTAATCAGTTAAATTGTACCGGTAATCTGGAAAACAATTGGACAAAATAAAAAAAGTGAAAGAAAATTCTGAATTTTTTAATGATATCATACCTATTGAAATGGAAGGATGTTATGGAATTTGAAAATGTGAATATGACAAAATATACAGTTGAACTTCAGTATCTCGAACACGGATATCCCGAATACCATGGATATGTCGAAGTGATTTTGAAGTCCCAAGCGCTTGTTTCTTAAGTATTTTACCCTGGGTATCTCAAATCCTCGGATATCTCCAAGTATTTTCTTGGTTCAATGAAGTTCAAGATAACGAGGTTTGACTGTATTTACTAAAACAAGCTCATTCGCATTTATATGATGTCTAATTTTCTTTAATTCATTGATTGTTGATAATCACTATAATTCTTGAATTTACAAAGTTGTATAGACTCTGTCAAGTTACACTCAAAAAATATAGATTCTTTAATGTATGCAGATGATATAGTAATTTTTTCATCATCACCACAAGGACTTCAGCAAAAATTAAACTTTTTAGAAAAGTATTGTGATGACTGGGGTATGAAAGTAAATTCTAATAAAACAAAAATTATTATTTTTAATAAAGCTGGGAGGACAATTAAACAGAAATTTCATTACAAAAATTTCAATATTGAATGTGTATCAAGTTATAAATACTTAGGCATCCATTTCACAGCCTCTGGAACTTTCTCAATGGCTAAACTTGAGTTATACAAAAAGGGACTAAAAGCATTCTTCAAAAAACAAAAAGATCTCCTTAGCTTAAATCCAGGGATATCCACCAGTCTAAATGTCTTTGTTCACACTATTAAACCTATATTACTTTATGGCTCAGAAATATGGGAAATATTTAATGTTAATAATTCAAAAATAAAGCAATTTATTATATAGTCTATAAATAGCCCCTATATAATCTATACAAACGCAAACAGTTCATAACACTACATATTCTCCGGATTTGAAG